GGATGGATGGATGGGTGGATGGATGGAAGGATGGACAAGTGGGTGGATGGGTGGATTGATGAAGGGCTGGGTGGGTGGGTGGATGGATGGGTGGAAAGATGGACAAGTGGGTGGAAGGATAGGTGGGTAGATGGAGGGATGGAAGGATTTTGATTCCTAACGTTCACATAAATAGCTGTTCTCCATGATGATCTATTCCTAACTTTGCCTTTTTTTTGACTCTCAGGTCTTCCAAAGGTGTGCCTGTTGCCATTACAACTGTGCACTCTCTGGGACTTGAAAGATGCTTTGTTTAAAACGTTGGCTGCATAGTTTCTAATTTAAAATAGTTATTGCTGTTTGCATAGAATATAGGTGGCTCAGGGCTGAACTGTGGTGTCCTTGGTGCACTCTGAGCTTGGCTGAAGGACTGCACAGTTTTACCGTACGGGACACACACACACACACACACACACCGCTTCATGCTGCATATACTTTAATTATTGGTTCCTTCCATTGCACGTAGCAATTTTTAACTAATGCAAATCTTTTTTCTGCTTCTGTAACTCCCCCCCCCCCCAATAGGATTCAGTATCCAAAGGAAAAAGTTGGACCACCTGGGGCTCCTGGAGCAAGTCCCTACTTTCAACTGCATCGGCTACTGTTGTTAAGTATCCAAACCCATATTAAGTTACGGTTTATCTAAACATTGTCTAAACGTAGTTAGGCTTAAAAATGTGATTTCCTCTATGATTATGATCAGTCCTTGGCTTAGAGTACATTGACACTAGGATATATTGTAAAAGGCTTCTGCCGTTAGTGCAGGCCACAATAAAAGTTGCAACAGAACTACTGTTGTTTAATTCTTTTTCGACTTATGCATTTCTCTCTGAACAATCCCACTGCCCAGCCATTTCTCCTTCTCTGAGATTCCACATCTGCATAGTTCATGCCAGAGAGCCAAATAGAATAGAATAGAATGGAATGGAATGGAATGGAATGGAGTGGAGTGGAGTGGAGTGGAGTGGAGTGGAGTGGAATGGAATGGAATGGAATAGAATAGAATAGAATAGAATAGAATAGAATAGAATAGAATAGAATAGAATAGAATAGAATAGAATTCTTTATTGACCAAGGTTGGACACACAAGGAATTTGTGTTGGTGCAAATACCCTCAGTATACATAAAAGAAAAGATACATTCATCAAGAATCATCAGGTACAACACTTAACGATAGTCATAGGGTACAATAAGCAATCAAATCATACTAGGAAACAGTCAATATAAATCATAAGGATACAAGTGACAAAATTACAGTCATACAGTCACAAGTGGGAGGGGATGGGTGATAAGGAGGGATGAGAAGATTAATAATAATAGTCCTGCAGACTTTATTGAGGGAATTATTTGTTTAGCAGAGTGATGGCTTTCGGGGGGAAACTGCCTTTGTGTCTAGTTGTTCTGGTGTGCAGTGCTCTATAGCATCGTTTTGAGGGTAGGAGTTGAAACCAGTGATGTAATTCCATTTTTTTTACTACCGGTTCTGTGGGCGTGGCTTGATGGGTGTGGTAGGAGAAGCATCCAGTCAGAGGTGGTATTTGCTGGTTCTCTGGACTACACAAAATTTCCGCTACCGGTTCTCCAGAAATGGTCAGAACCTGCTGAATACCACCTCTGGTTGAAACAGTTTATGTCTGGGATGTGAGGGGGTCTGTAGATATTTTCCCAGCCCCCTTTTTGACTTATGCAGTATACAGGTCCTCCATGGAAGGCAGGTTGGTAGTAATTGTTTTTTTCTGCAGTCCTAATTACTCTCTGGAGTCTGTGTCTGTCCTGTTGGGTTGCAGAACCAAACCAGACAGTTATACAGGTGCAGATGATGGACTCAATAATTCCTCTGTAGAGCTGGATCAGCAGCTCCTTGGGCAGTTTGAGCTTCCTGAGTTGGCGCAGAAAGAACATTCTTTGGTAGGCCTTGACTTATAACCACAGCCAAGCCAAAATATTGAGCAGGACAGTTGTTAAATCAAAAAGCAACGGATGGAAACTCATCAAGGAGAGAAGCAACCTAGAAATTTCCTGACAGTTAGAACAATTAATCAGTGGAACAACTTGCCTCCAGAGGTTGTGAATGCTCCAACACTGGAGGTTTTTAAGAAGAGATTGGACAACTGTTTGTCTGAAATGGTATAGGGTTTCCTGCTGAGCAGCGGGTTGGACTAGAAGATCTCAAAGGTTCCTCCCAACTCTGTTGTTTTGTTTTATTCTGTTCTGTGAGTTTTGCCCCATTTCATGTCCTTTCCTATATCCATCTGGAATATAACATTTTTATTTGGCCATTTGTTCTTACTTAACGAACTTCCAAAAGCAGATCGCTACAATTAATAAAACATGATGGATGGCTGTGATTGATCTGGAGGAATTAAAATCTCCGATGATGTGGCATTATTTCCAAGGTCATACAAAGTCCGTTTGAGAGGATGAAAAATTAGGTTTTCTTAACAGTAGAAGCAACAAGGCAAAGGATTGGTTCCAAATTAAATTAAGCGCCAATGAGCTAAGACCAGAAAAATAGGCTGTGATACGGATTGAAATCCATTTGATGGGAACTTCATGCGATTTAACATTTCATCAGCTGATGGATCGGAGCTGAAGGGCCAGCTTTAAATCAAATCACTCAGTAAAGGTTGCATATTGGGAGACTTGAAATGTTTTGCCAGGATGTCGTCTCTGTGAAATCCTATAAATCTAAGCCAACCTTATCTTTGATTTCATATGGGCTGGTGGTGGCTGAGGCCAAAAACTCTCCCAAAATCGGTCTCATCGGCTTTCATTTATACCTCTGGCCATTCAGTCGCTCTCTTACTGATTGAATTTGAATTTTTCATAAGAGTTTTAGGATCAAGAAAATGTAGACCGGTTGCATATCATGTGTGTGTGTGTGTGTGTATGTTTGTGTGTTTGTGTGTGTGTGTGTGTGTGTGTGTATGTATGCATGTGTATATGTGTGTGTGTGTGTGTGGTACTTGACTTACAAACACAACGGAGCCCAAAATTCCTGTTGTTAAAGCGAGACATTGGTTTAGTGAGTTTTGCCCCGCTTTTATGACCTTTCTTGTCACCAGTGTGAAATGGATCACTGCCGTTCCTTAGGTGAGTCACACGGTTGTTAAGTGAAATCTACTTTCCCCCGTTGACTGTGCTTGTCAGAAGGTCCCAAAAGGGGATCACATGATCCCTAGGACACTGCAAGGGTCATAAATGTGAATCAGTTGCCAAGCGTCTGAATTTTGACCTCATCGTCCTGGGGCTGACCCAAAGGTCGTAACTGTGAAAAAACAGTCGTAAGCCACTGCTTTTGAGTGCCGTTGTAACTTGGAATGGTCACTAAATGAACAATTGTAAGTCAAGGACTACCTGTACTGGTTCCACTTCAGGTCAAGGATTAACGGCAGTTAAAGAAAAAGCCGGCATTCTTCGAACTCGTGCACCTTCCTCGGCATCTTTGGATGGGGGACCTCCGGAGACATCTGAAAACATCATCACAGGTCCTGTCTTTCTCAAGTGATCTGCCCCGGGGTGGTCTTCAAAAAGTGGATCAACTGGTTCTCTGCCCGGGTGCTGGGTGGGCGTGGTCATGGTCATGGTGGGCATGGCCTAGTCGGCCTCCTGTGCCATTTTTGCCCTCCCTGGGCTCTGAAGGCTTTTCTTGAGCCTCTGGGAGGGTGGAAACAGCCTTCCCGGGCTCTGGAGACCCTCCGAAGGACTCCCAGAGCCTCCAGGAGGCTTGTTTCCCCCCCTCCCAGGCTCCTG